CTCAGGAGCTTTGCCAGGTCCCTCAGCCAGGGCCACGCCAGCTCTGGGGCCGGGGCCGCCTCTTGCACGTGCCCTTCCCTCCAGCTCACCCTGCACACGCGCGCTTTGCACACGCGCTCCTGCACCCGAGCCTTTCCCCCCAGAGCCTAGTGGAAAGGCCTGGCTCCTCTTCCCCTCCCAGAGCCCCGGAGGCTGGTCCTGAAGCGCCCCGGGGCAGAGGCACACTCGCCACAAACAGCTGCAGTAGATCACTGTAGCTGGAGCACATGCTGCCCTGAGCTGAGGCTCGCTGCATCCGGCAGCATTTGATGCAGAAGCTCACCAAAGCTGCTGCACACACACCAATGCACACTTTGATTAGCCGATAAGGTGCAAATCTACCCTGCCTTCTACTCCCCCCGCGGGATCCGCCGGGGCGTGGGGGCCAGCGCTGGCCGCTTGTCCTCCCTGCCTGGGGCAGGGCTTTGGTCTCTCTTCTGCTCCGGGGCCCACCACCCTGCTGTCTCCAGCCTCCCTCCAGCCACCTCCCTGGCTCTCTCGCGTCCAAGGGCTCCGTCCCGCCAGAGGCCCGCAGAGCTCCAGGCCGAAGGACCCTGCGCGGGTCCCACCTGCCAGCCCCGCTCCCCTGTCGCCAGCCCCCGCTGCAGCCTTGTGACTGTGACAGCAGGGGGAGTGCCTGCCCGGCGACTGCTCCGGTCTGCGCGGGGGGACGCGGCCAAGTTTCGCCTCGGAAGTTCAGCCCTGCTCCCCTGGGCTTCGCCTCTCCCCGGCCGGGCCGCGGGGACTCCCCCGGGCGGGCTCCGCACTGCCCGGCCTGCACTGCACTGCGGGGCCCCGCGGGGCGCGGCTAGCCCCCGGGCTTGGCCGGAGCTTGTGCTGCAGGGGCTGGAGGGTCGGGGGAGGCACTGCGGTGCCTGCCCCGAGGCTCGCCCCGGACATATTCCCTACGAAACAGAGCCCAGGCCCCTCGGCTCCGCCGTGCCCCTTTGCAAGGGAGGCTGGTGGGAAGGAGATGCTGGCGGGGCGGGGCGGGGGGCTTGATCACTGCAGCCGCGAGGCGCTGGGGCCCCCTTCCTGGCCCCCCTGGCTCATCAGCCCAACTTGGGCCGCGGCACTTGGCAAGTCCCCTCGCACGGCGCCCGACTGACGTGGATCCCGTTGGCGAAAACCAAAGCAGCCCCTGCACACTTGCGTGTTTTCCCTGCCACGCTCCAGAGAAGAGCGCCAGGTCCTGGGGCTGCTTCTTTTCCGGTGCAGGCACAGACACAGCCGAGCACGGGCTGAGCCCAGGGTTGTGGCTGAGCTCGGGTCCTGTTGTGGCAGCGCTTCCCCCTGTTCACTTCCGCACACCAGCCAGCTCCTCGGTGTTCCTACGAGTGCCAGCCCGGGGCGTGGGTTGTCGCTGCTGGACAGGGGATCCCTCCTCTGGCCTGACCCTTTCTGCTCGGATTGAATTCAGCCAGGGCTGGGAGAGCCCCATGGAGCGGGCGGCATCCCCCTGCCCGCCCAGATCCCCGGGAATCGTTTTCAGTCGGAACTGAACGTGTCCGGCGCGCTCCTTGGAGCAGCTGCAGCCCCCCACCCAGGTCTCGGACATTTGTCAAAGCGAAATCACTCCGATCGGAGGAGATCCGCTGGGCTGCTGCGGCCCCGGCGTGCGGAGCCGCTACCACACTGCACTATCCTGAGCTCAGACCAAAAGGGGCGGCACTCCAGTCACCCCAGGCGGGGGCCAGGAGGAATCGCCAGGTGACGATTCAGAGGCTTTTCGGCTTTATGACCTGCAGCCAACGTGTGCCGGGCACCCACCCACGTATGTGTGTGGGAGTGAGTGTGTGCGTACATCCTATGCGTATACACCCCCCCCCCCACACACACACACACGGTTCTTGTTCACAAAGTTAAAAAGCGGGGGGGAAGGGACTATTTATGCAGCGGGTTCGTGTTTGTGTCCGTGGGAAAACAAACCCCGACAAGCTGGAGGCTGCGGACCGGCTCTGGCATCGGGCGGGAGAAGCTCCCGCGGATGAATTTGTTCTAAAACTGTCCAAAATCGTGTAACGACCTCGGCAATTGTTTGGAGGGAACGAAATCAACGGTGCGGGATCCCTCCGTGATTTTCCCTGAATCGCTACGGCCAAAACTGGTCCCGGGCAGAGGATGCCCGGCGTGCGCGGTCTGCAGCCCCCGTGTGCGCTGGACTTTCGGAGGAGGGGGAGGCTCTCAGGGCAAGAGCCAATATTTATATCTAGCTCGTCTGAATCTATTGCGGGATGGGAAAAAAAAAAAAAAAAGAAAGAAAGCCGCGGAGGCGTGGGCTGCGTGACCCTGGCTGCGGGCTGGGACACACAACACGGTGTTTACACGTCCATGAGATTTGGAGCGCAAAGGTTTCCTAAATCCTATGCTAACCCGTGCCCGGCAGTTAACAAGACAGGATCAGCAAATTATGACAAGAGGAACCCTTGATAGATAATATATTAGAGAGAGGAAGAGAGACAGACAGACAGATATTCAGAGAGTTATACAGAAATAACCTGATTTCCTACTCGGGTCTCCCGCCTCTCCCCTCTGTACTGGCGATGGTGGCGGTGTACTACTTGCAGGGAGACTGTCCCCCTGGTGCTGCCCGCTCCCCCCGCCCCCGGCCCCTGTAGGATCAAATCCTGCGGTTGCCATTCTTGTGATGGACCTCAGGGTCACCCCGCTCCCACCCCCTCCTTTTAACAGATAGAAACAATATCGAATAAAGTAGCGAGGAGTGATGATGTAAACCCACCCAGGACGGCAAAAGCCGGGAGTGGAAGCGTGGATCCCACGTGTGTTGTATCAGGGGGGGTTTGACAGTGAGCTCAGAGTTGAAAGTAAACAGTTCTATAGATTATTTCACGGGTCACAGAGGGGGAAAGCACCTCCCTTAACAGACTGCCTGGATTTAGTGGCCTGAGAGGCACCAAGAGACGAGAATGTCCATCAACAGCTATCTCATCCCCGTGCTCGGGTGCCTGTCTCCCCATCCAGTCCGGACGCAGGGAAGGCAGAGGCTCCCGCGGCCCGACGCTTGCGGGGGTCCCTGGCAGGCTTTGGGGCAGAGCAGTGGAGTGGATCCACGCTCCCGTGGCTCTTGCATCGTCTCGGGGTGTTTGCGCCTCCTGCCCCGCCTCACCTCGGCCCCCGGGTGCACGGAGTGCCTACACATGCCCTGGGACTTTCCGTCTCCTCTAGGAATACCTTGGTGCGGGAAAGCATCGCAGGCAAGCGCATAGCTAGCTCGATCCTGCCAGCCAGGCTCCAGCTCCAGACATGGACAAGGGGCACATGCAGAGGCCGGGGGCGCCTGGGAGGGGAGGGGGCAGGATCGTGTTGCTGCCCCCGGCGCCCCGAGGAGGCAGGCGCGGCGGCCCCCGCTCAGTCTGGGGGTGGGGGCGCCCCCAAACCTCGCGGATCAAGTCTCCAAAACAAGGCAGGCGCCGGCTCCTGGGCCAGGCGAGGCCCAGCCGCACAGCTCCGGCCTTTCCGTGTCAGCAGCCCGAGCTCCTGGAAGCAAGTGGAAGCCGCTTAACTGCCCCCCCCCCCCACCCCAAATGCAGTGCCCAGAGGGCAGCACACACATACACACCTTTTTTTTTTCCCCCTCGCAGGAGAGAGAAGAGGGCGAAGAGAAAAAAAAAAGAAAAGAAAGAAAAAGAAGCGGGCGGGAAGAGGCCGCTCAGGCCGGGAGCAATAGGCCATACAAAATGAAGCTGAAAATGACTTCCGCTGCTCCATTTAACCTTTCTGTTTCGAGGTCCCCCGCCGCCTCGCACCTACATCCTTTACTGAACACAGCAGCCAGAGTCCCCGTGGCAGGACAGACGAGGGAAAGTCGAGGCCAGGCCAGGCCAGGCCCCGCTCCCCACCGACCAGCAGGGCCTGTGCCCCGGCTCGGGCCAACTCCCCCGCGCGGGGCGATGCGGCCTGCCCGGGGCACCCCCAGCGCCGCTGCCCCGCCGGGCGGGGGCCGTGGCTCTCCC